TCTTGTCCCGTCTTGTGCTTACTCCTCCTCTGCACTAAGCAAGGACTTTAAGGACTGGGAGGTTTGTATGGAGGTATTCCAGGTGATAGCAATTGATGCCAGAAACATTAGCAAGGAAAGTACATTGCAAAAGTGTGATTTATGTGCACCTCTCAAATAAAGGAGTTTGGGATGAGTTGGGAGTCAACTGACTTGTACGGTGTTATTCGTAAGAGAGATCCAAGAAAGTTTTCCGTTACTTCAGACTCCCTTGCCACTGATACTCTCTCTCTCCTGAGAGCCAGAAAGATCTCTTGGCTTTCACTGACTGCTTGGCAGGTATTTTTTCCATCTAGACTGCAAAGGTAGGCATTCCCTATGTGGCTTGCTCTGTGTGGGAGAGCTGTCCCTTACTTTTCAGATGCCCTGGCATTCTGAGTGCTTCAAGAATGCCGCAAGCCCCTATTTTAAGACATATCCTACCCTTGGGATTTCATATGTTTGTACCTGTAGTTTTTCCTGAAATTATCCTTAACAAAATCCTGGGCTAGGTAAAATCAAAAAACATTTGTAACATATGAGATAACAACACTGTGACTCATGCTTTGAACCACACATGTGACAAGAAGAAAAGAAAACCAGTCATAAGCTATTTCAGATGAATTTTTAATGACAATTTTTATTTGCATGCAAGTGACAAGCTGTAGATGCTTCCCGAATTCTTAAGATCAGGTATTTGATACTGGCAGGCATCTAGACTTTCTAGACTGTGTTCACAAGAGACAGCGCTGGGAAGGGGGAAAAGATTTGCTTTTACATCCCACTCACAGCATGAGGTTTCTCTGTGGTACACTACAGTTTAATTCTTTTTCCTGCTTTCCCTTCTCATCAATGTTTTTTTACTTCTCAATCCAGCTTGGACAATATGAACTTTCACCCACTAGACTATTCTCCACACCATCTCTTTGGAAATGCTCCTGTCCCTTCAGCAAGACCTGTCTCGGTTATCACCTGCATGCCCAGACAGAGAACAGACTCATTTCATGGTGGCTCCAGTGCCTGGACTAAGCCATAACAACATTAGGACATTGTGGGATGGCACATTTTCATCTGTCGTGCAGGGCAGGGCTCCGATCCAGGGGCTTTGACATTACAAACATATTGTATGTGCATGTGGCTTGCTAACTGCACATACCTAGGACTGATGCCTGCAGGGCCAGAAATGATTCTCTGAAGACTGGACACAGTGGTAACCAGATCACTTTGGAATCATGTGGAGGTGAAGAATACTATGACATTAATAGTAAATGATGTTAATGTTAACAATTATTTCCAGGGGCAAGACTGGGTATTCTGGATTCTTTTTTTTTTTTCCCTAAACGTGGTTGCCATTGACTTAATCCTGGTCCATAACCTTGTGGATCGATTTAATAAGACTGCTTTATATCCATACTTGCCATTAACACAACATTTACAACTGCATATCTGAGGCTGTGAGTTGTTATGGATATACTTGCTAGGCTTTCTGCTATCTCTAGGGATATTTGGTTAACTTGATAATAGGTCTAGTTCAAGTTATAACCCATAAGCCCATGCTTCATCTGGTCCATACTTACTGCTTCAGCAAAGACAAATAAGACATATAATTCAGCAAATAGAGCTATTTGCTTTTTACAGAGGGTGAGCTGAGACGGATATTTTACACTGGTGGGCCTTACTCTTTATTGTCACCATTCTCCTTAAAGATGTATTCTGTAAATAGACAGAAACTTCAGTATCCTGTCTTAGGCTGTCCTGCAGCAAAAGTGCTGTGTCCTGTGTTTATCATTGAGATTTGTGACAAACTATTTTTGAAATGGAATTTTCAGATCTGGCTCCTGCCTGTAGATCTCTTAGCTCCTGATTGTTTAAAAGTCAGGGAAAAAAAAATCTTTCTCTTTTGTGTTGTTCTTGGTTCCTGGTCTCTTCAGTTTTTTTTAGTTGGCTTGCGGGAAAAGAAAATTCAAAGCAGAATCACTTTACTACTCTTTGGGGATAATTGCAATTCAGAGTCTCAATTTTGGAACACCAGTTGTCAGTTAAGCAACATTTGCAATTCCTAATCTGAGGCCTCCACCTCCTCTTCCTCTGTGGAACCAAGGCCTCAGTTAAGGTGGGCATGACTCCACCATGGAATCCTTATCAGATGTTTAAAGCCTAAAGCTCATAGCAAGGGTGCATTAGTCTATGCATCATCTCCTGCATAGTTTTCTTAGGTTAACCAAGACATAAAGCAGACTGAAATGAAATCATTGCAGGCAATCTTTTATTCTACTTATTATTATTTCAAACAGGCCATAAAACACCCACATTTTTTAAAATTTTTTTTTTATTTACTTATTGCTCAGACACTGCCAGTAAATAGATTATAATAGGTCGTGAAGGTCTGTTCACGAAGTATGTGGTGTAAAGAATAAAGTGCATGATTACTATACTGTGGATTAAATACATGATACTTAGTGTTGTATTTATTTTGTCATTAGGTGATTTTTGTAATTCTGGTCCTTGATAGATGAGCAATGATAAATAAAATAAGCTGTCCTTCCTGACCTCTTTAGAGCAGGGGTAACAGAGGAAAATAAGTCTATAGTTCAGTATGTGGGTTTGAACTCACCTTTTTCAGTGTAACAACTAAAACAGACTTTCCAAAAAGAAAGTTATTTGTGTGGAGGCATACGTTCCCTTCTGCTGACCCTGTTACGGTTTTGACAACCTGTAAAAAAGAGCCAGGGTGAAGAGCTGCAGGGGAATTAAGATCTTGATTTACCACAACAGAATTCACCAGAGGCTTTAAAAGATCTGGGGAAATGTACCTTTTACGGCCAATACAGCACCAGAACTTCACATGAGGTCTTTGTGCTATGAAGTCAAAATGTAGTAGCAGATCTGAGCATTGCAGTATACTCAATAAGGAAATATAGAGAGCCCATGCTGCTGTTTGAAACTTGACATTTCATTTATAATGGATATTTGAGGTAGGGATTCTTTTTTTGCTTCTGAATAACAGGAATAACAGGCTGAGGACTGTTAGCATTAAATATTCATCCCCTGGCTGGTAATGGGAATAACTACTTTGACTAGTAGCAACCCAAAACCAAATATTTTCATGATGCTTCCTGTGTCACTGCAGATAGTCCACACTCTGCTTATCCAAGGTTATTCTCTTTTGAGCCAAATCATTTTTTGAAAAAAGGACAAACCATGATTTTCTCAAAACTATCTTTTCACTCTAGTGCACCACTGCATTTCATTTTTGATGTCTTAGAAAGACTGATATCTCCCTTAAGTTTTCACCCTCATACACTGAAACAGAACAGGTTCTTCCAGTGCATATCTTACACAGACTCACAGACTCACAGAATGGTTGAAGTTGGAAGGGACCTCTAGAGATCATCTAGTCCAAGCCCCCTGCTCCAGCAGGGACACCTAGAGCATGTGGCACAGGGTGGCATCCAGGCGGGTTTGGAAGATCTCCAGAGAAGGAGACTCCGCCACCTCTCTAGGCAGCCTGTTCCAGGGCTCTGTCATCCTCACAGGAAAGTTCTTCCTCACATGGAGATGGATCTAAGTCACTAGCAAGTCCTGTTCTCTTTTCATCACACAGTATTGCCTTCAGTTCCTCCCCCACTTTTAACTGGACATAGATTGGTCTTAAAATCTTACTGTTTTTATTCCACATGGCAACATGTAAGAAAACTGCCCTTTCCTTTTGCCCTTTCCTCTTGGCCCATAATGTGCAACCTCTGCCTTAGTTTTATTTCACTTACTCATTCTAACCAACTATTTCCAGTCCCTTTGCTTATTACCTGGCATTTTCCAGCATCTTTCAGCCGGTCCAAAATGCTATCTTGCTGGTTGTCAATCCTTTTTTCTCTGGTTCTATTGGTCCTCCAGTCAAATCCTTTCACTCCTTTTACAAGATCCTCCAGAGTAAATAGCTCTAAAACAAACAAACAAAAAGGACTCACACAAAGAGAATCATGTAACACACAAAAAAAATCACTCCAGGGAACACCAGGAAATTGTGTTCCTTTAAGTATACAATTGATTTTCCTGGTGAGTGAGTTAGCTTCCTCCAAATCATAATATTGCTTATAATAGTGTCTTCTCAATCTCAAAATTGTGCCATCACCTTTTTTATATTGTATATTTTCAGTTTGTTTCTGCTCTGTTTTAACAAAACAACACTCTGCAGTGTTTCTGCACTGTTTTAACAAAATAATTAATTATGTAACTTGTAGCATAAATCATATATGACATTAATGATATGCATATACATATACTTCAATATTTTGTTAAGAACACCAGCAATACAATGTATCAAGTACCTTTCAAAGTCAAAGTACATACTTGAAAATCCTGATACACCCCTTTTATCTGCCTTGTAGAACAGGCCGTAGCTCAAAATTGCGTTGAATCGTTTTAGTAATACTTCTAGCCTAAATCAATACTGCTGCACCATAAGCCATCCCAGAAAACTGTTGAATGGTGCAGAAGTTTAACATGCTTTCAGCCACTTCCTGACGCCAGACCCCAGAGCGGATGATAAAGTATGTAGCAGAGCCATATATCCTGCTGACTGGTGGTCTTCCTGGAGACCAGGAGAGAGGATTCAACCCTTAAAAAGAAAAAGGGACTAGATAAACATGCCCGGAAATTGCAGACCCCTTGACTGATGGAGATGTGTTTCCTTGCAACTTTTTCCACTGACTTGGAATGTTCTGTGACATACTTGCTCTTCCATTTTAAAAGGGAAGAAAATCTCAGTTTAAAAACAAAATCCTAGCAAAAAAAGTGTCAGGAAAGATCAAGGGATGTTATTAATAAAGCATGGACCCTTGCCAAGAAAGGCTGAGTTTTCCGCTGGCCATTCTACCACCCTTGTTTCTTTATTAAACTAAACTATTTTTTCCAACAGAACGTATTGCTTTGCATGTGTGTTCTTGGATTCTGAATATCATCCCATGTATTTTCTTTTCCAGGAGGCAGTACAGGTACCTCCCCAACAACCTCCAGCACAGGGACCCCATCACCCTCTGCTTCCTCTCATCTTCTCTCTCCATCCTGCTCTCCTCCAGCCTTTCATTTGGCCCCCAACACCTTCAATGTTGGCTGCCGGGAGAGCCAGCTTTGCAATCTCAACCTGTCTGATTACCCTCCATGTGCCAGGAGCAATATGGCTGCACTGCAGAGCTACCCGGGGCTGAGCGACAGCGGGTACAACCGTCTGCAGAGCAGCACCACCTCTGCCTCTCAGCCCTCAGAGAAACTCCGTCCTTGATCTCAGGAATTCCTACTCCTTCCTCGCTGCCCACCAACGGCAAGATGGAGGCATACAGTGGCCAGCTGGGGTCATTCCCCAGCTCCCAGTTTCAGTATGTCATGCAAGCAGGCAACCCTGCCTCCACCTCTTCTTCCTCACACATGTTTGGTGGTAGCCACATGCAGCAGAGTTCCTACAATGCCTTCTCCCTTCACAATCCCTACAATCTCTATGGATACAATTTCCCTGCCTCCCCAAGACTGGCAGCAAGCCCAGAGAAACTGACCACCTCCCAAAGCACTTTACTCTGTTCCTCCCCTTCTGGTGGGGCCTTTGGAGAGAGGCAATACCTTTCGACAGGCATGGATCATGGAATGCACATGATCAGTCCTCCATCCAGTAACCAGCAGGCAGCCAATGCCTGTGACAACAGACAGTACAGTGCTGTTCAGGGCTCTTCCTCACAGATGTCTGTGCACATGGTCTAACAAGTGGCACATTTCTTTGGAAGCGAAAGCCATCGGACCTTCGTCATTACCTATCCACTTATCTTTTTGCCTTTAAACTTATAGCAGAACTAGTATTGTAATGATAAATATGATCACAAGCTGTCTAAGTATATCTTGACTAAGAGCCACTGAAGTTTATAATCCAGGACCACCGGATCTGGCATAGATCATCTGCTCTTTATGGACATTGCAGAAAGAAGGGCATAGCTTTTGAGAGAAGCTGGAGTGAAGCAGTTGAATATACAGTTTATGTATTAACTCTCGGCTAGTGTGAGCTCTTAGTGTGGAGGGAGATGTGACCCTGCACTGTCTCCTCCAGGTGTCAAAAGAAGTCTCTGAACACCTTATCCTGCAAAGCAAATTCATGAGACGCCATGGCTTTAGAAGGCTTCCTCTTCCAGGGCCATCCCTCACTGCTGGAGTGACTCAGCTTGTTTCTGAAGCAGCCTGCAAACAGAGATGGGAGAAAGAAAGAGCGAGAGAGAGCGAGACAGAGAGAGAGAGAGAGAGGGAAAAAGAGAGAGAGAGAGAAGTTTTAATCCACAAGTGAACCTCTGTTGCGAGCAAAGACTGATCTTCAGAAAGATGCACATGAGGAGCAGGGGCTCAGGTCCTGTTGACATTGCCTGGAGTGATGCACCGAAAAAATAAAGAAAAGAATGAAAGTCTTTACGTGTAACATGTCCAACTCCACTCAATGGGAGGAAACTCTCCAGACTGAGCTCATGTGGAAGAGTGATGAGGAAAAAAAACCTCTGCTCTGCAAGCAGTACAACCAGCTCCCTTTACCATGCATGCAAGAGTTGCCATAGAAAACCATTAGCATTTCAGTAACAGTGAGGTTGAGTATTCTCCAGGCTCCTACCTGCCACATGATCTCTGTTTAACCAAGCAGATCATTGCCTTTTGACATGTTTCTTTTCTGTTTTTTTTCTCTTTTCTTTCTTCAAATCCTTTAAAAATAAGAAAACAATTGTAGCTTGGTGAAAGCTATCATTTAAGTTGTGTGAAAATGCAAATACCAAGTAACGAAATACAGATATTATTGAGATTTGTTGTGAGGTGTTGTCGATAAATGTATTTATATGCCTAGTGGGGAATTCAATATTATGAATATAAAAGAGGGCAAGAAAATGGTATGTAAAATATGTATGAAGAAAAAAAGGTGTATAAAGATTAGCCCCATGCACGAAACTCTCTTTCTAAGTGCCAAGCACAGAATATGCTAAATAAATCTTTGCAATTGTTCCTTTTGTCTTGTTGTTGTTTTTGCCTGTGAAGCTCCTTTGCTGGTTGTCTAGTGATACAAGTTTTCAAAATTCTGCCACCTGTGTATGCACAATACATGAAAGGCAGTGCAAAGCTGTGAAGTCCAGATGTGGAGCTTAAGAGAAGACAAAGTATGTACATGTGTATAGAAGTATTTTTGAACAGAACACTCAGGAGGAATGTGTGCAAAGCAATACAGCTATGCATCTACTGGCATACTTGTTGGGAAGAATCCACTTCATGATGTCATGGTATTTCCCATAAATGAAACCCAGAATATGGATTGCAATCAGATTTCTTATAATAAAAAGAAATTCTTATAATAAAAAGAAATTCTTATAATAAAAAGAAATCCTTTTTATTATAAGAAATAATTCTCACTCTCTTAAATGAGAGGCCAGCTTCAGAAAGCAGTAAACAGCAGTGTTTTCTTTCACGGAGAGAAGTGTTACAGTAAAAATAAAAAAATCAAAGTTCTCAAAAAAGATTCTAAAAATCTCATGTTTGGGATCTGTAAGTGTCTTCCTTCATAGGAAATGCATCTTATGGACACTTAGAGTTATTTTGATTGTCAAAGCCTAATAAAACTCTCTTCAGAGCCATATTCACAGTTAGTATTTAAAGTAATAGTTACAACTGATATAATTTGTATTTCATTTTAAAATATGATTTGGGGGTATTTGTCAGCTTTTCATTTTTATTTGCATTTTGCTAATATATCATCGAGACATCAGTACATCGAGACATCAGTACAAAAAGCAGCTGAAACCCTCTCAGACATGTCTGTAACACTCATGACTATAGTGTTTACAATTTTCTGTGTGCCAGTAAACTTTTATTCGAATTGAGAAAGCACTAGAAAGATAGAAAAGCTTTGAGAGAGAAATTCTACAAGCATTCTTCAATTTTATTTTTTACAGGGTAATATAAATATACAAATACCATTCCTGATTTTCTGTCTGTTCTGTCTAGCCTGGTATGCTTGGAGAGACTACAATTGGCATACATGACAGGATCTAACCCTTTCCTTCTTCTCTTCTGTTTACTCGTAATATGTAATTCTTGCTTTATCCTTGAAATAGGTAGTTTTGCAGTCTTTCTAAAATTCTTTGTA